AGAGGCGGACTTAGGGAACTATTACTCTGTGCGAATAGAAAAACTGACCTCTGAGGACGTCCCAGATCTTTACAGTCTCGTCAAAGCTTCCAGACGCCAATAGATTTGATTGTAGATTATAGTTTACACAAAACACATGGTTGTTGTGCCCTGTGAAGCTCTTTACTTGGATCCCCTAATCGTCCAAAGTATCTCAATTATGGGAAAGTTGCATTTTCGACGTTACAACTCACCCTTTCGACGTTCCAAATGCGCACCGAGTAGTCATCAGAGCCTGAAGCGACATAGACACTGTCATCAGACCACGCGACATCGTTGACGCCTTCCGTATGACCTTGAAGTGTCTTATAATGCACACCAGTGAGGGCGTTCCAGATGATTACACTAGTGTCCGAGGCTAAGGGCTCCTTAGGAATGCGTTTACCAGTGAACGGGCTCGAAAAAACTGACGAACAAGCAGATGCCAACAATAATCCGTTGGGACTAAACTTAAGTGAAGTCACAGCCTGCGTGTGACCATAGAGCGTGAAGCGATGTTCATAATGCGGGGTGGAGGAAGAGGCCAACATTAATCAACAAGAAGTGAATTGCATCAAGCCATTGTTACATTCGGGAACCATAAGAAAGTCATGAGACTTATCATAAGAATGGAGGAATAAGATATGTGCCGAATCCCTTCCGAGCAAATTTTAATTCACGGGAGAGATTACGCCTTCTGGGGCTTTGGAAGAAGTCAGCATACGACCGGTTTCGGATGAGACTAAACGTCCACTTACGACAGCATATTTGATCGGAGTCACAGGTCCCTGGGGGACAGGCAACCATGCAGCTCCCTGCTCGTCTATGTCCTTCCCCAAGGGGCATATCTCCAAATTCAGGTTGAATTGTGGCATTATGGATATTATAACGATGAAGGATCCTTCTAATATCATGAACGGCCCTCATGTATTCTGCCTTTTGGTCCAACCGAATGTGAACTGAAGCTATATGCCTCGTCTCGGATAGTTGCCAAACATGAAGTTCGTGGATCGATCTCACACCGGCAACGGCAGCGATTTCGGCACGCAAAGTGGCGAGATTTACGTTCTCTGGAACACCTGCGACCAATCGTCAGATAACAACCTTGCCAGGAGGGTAAGTCACAAACCTTGCAGAAGAATGAAGGACGCAGATTTGACAAGAGGAAGTGCAGAGGAGAAGATGATCACGGTGATTAACAAAGAGATGACCGGATCACTATAGTATCGATACTTCCAGGTGGTCAACCAGATAATCAGACCACTAGCAATAACTCCGACATTGCCCAATGCGTCTCCGAGAACATGCAGAAGAAGAGCACGCATGTTCATGCTTCCATGATGATGGTGCTGGCCGCCCGATTTGGCGGCTTCGACATCTGTGTTTATAGAAAGCGCATGAGAGTGAGAATGATGGGGCGTAGTCGATGAATGGCGATGACGAGTAGCAATAGGGGTGGCAACTTCTTCTTCGTCCTCTTCTGAAAGGGAAACGGCATCTTCAGTTGGTCGGAAGTCGCGTCTAGATGTCGAGGTCGCTTGCCGATATAGAGTAGGAGATGGAGGTGGTGAAGTAGCCTGCCCAACACTAGTTGCAATGTCTTGTGCCTTTGCAATCACGTATGCTCGATTTTGGATTGGGTGTCCAAAAAGGGAGATGGAATCCGTCGAATCTGACCGTGGCCGCCCCGAAGGGGATAGTGGGGAGTTAATAGGAGATCCAACAGGTGTGGTGGACCTGTTTGCGAGTAAAGGCTGTCGTTCCCCTCCAGAACTTATGATAGCGATCCCGGTGGCTGGTTTGGGTGTGGTCTCATGGCCATTTTCGTGTGCGTGGTCATGTCCGTGATCGTGGTCATGTCCGTGTCCATGTTCTACAAAGAGGGATCAGAGAGGTACGGCGAGATATGTAAATATACGGACCATGGAACATGACCAGTCCGAGAAGGTTGCTAGCAAGACCGAAGCACCCTACAATGACTACCAGTTTCGGATTGGAGATTTCTGTTATTGTATATGTGAGTATCTTTATGTCATACCTCGACGAAAGAGAACAAACCTGGAACTTCGAAGAAACGTTCGATGGCCTCCATGAAGATTGAAAAGCAAAGAGCCAAAAGGAAAACACCATTGATGAGCGCAGCCAGAATCTCTGCACGATGCCAGCCATAGCTGAGACTGCAAAGGTCCATTAGATTGACAAGTGTGTCAAGCCACAGCCGATGGTACGCACCTCGTACTGGCACTCTTACTAGCAAGCTAGACATAAGACTAGTTATGAGCGTATAAAAAGAGTTTGAGAATCGAATTCAGACCTTGATAGCGTATAGGGCAACGATAAGACTCATGACATCGCTGATGATAATGAGCTCAGCACGTCCGCCGTTCGTCTCCAGTGACTCAGGAAAACGTACTTTAACATATGAAAGCTATCTGCAATGAGTGCAAGGGAGCCCACCGTATAACCTAATCCGGGATGACTTTAGCATTTACCACGCAACTGCAACTGCGTTTTCCGTCCCACTGACCAACGATGAGCTCAATCAAGAAGAAAAGAACGTCGATAACGAGGAGGATCTTGATCCTCGTAGAACGAGAGGCCATGGTTCCCTGAGAGAAAAACTGCTTGCGGTTGTAGATGGCCAAGCGACAAATCAGCGGCTGGACCTCGCGGGGAAGGTAAAGAGCCGCATCCCGCAAAGGATAAATAAGAGCAACAGTGTCATTGCAAAAGCTAGAAAATTACAGAAGATCTGTTTTGAATCGATTGTTTGGGTGCTTGGTGACAATACCATCCATTCTGCTATTTTTTATCGATGAATTGCCAAAGAGCACACAGTTTTTTCTCAGTACGCAATGCAAAAAGATGCACGCTGCTCGTAAACGTTGCGTGATCAAGATGTAAAATCGCGACTTGTCATCTGTTAGAGTCCAAAAAGGGTTGGCGATGGTTCCTTCCTCATACGGCATAGATCTCAAGGGTCGGCATTGAGGCCTTGTCCAATTTCATTTCATCTAGAGCGGAGCACGCCATATATGTGTCCTACAGTCCCAAGAACTACTGGCAATGAGAGTAGCGTCGTTGAGCGACCAGGCGCAGCTAACGACGAACTCGGTATGCTTGTCGTAGATGGTCTGCAAACTAGGCGCTCCTGGGGGGACATTCGTCGACCATCTATCCCAAATGTTCGTCAGCTTCCAGCATCTCAGTCAAACGAAACGACGTTACATTCTGAAACTCATGTCGTAGCTAGCACTCGCGAGTTTGTCTGGGGAGAAATTACTCCATTGAACCTTTCTCACCGCGTATTCGTGACCCATAAGCTCTTTGGTACAGGTAGCGGCGGGTTGTATCGTCGTCGATGACGGATTCTTTACCATTCGACAATCCCAAACGCGAATCATTCTATCAGTTCCACCGGTAGCGATAATATATGGCTGCCATTTGTTCCAATCCAGCGTCAGAACCTCACCCGAATGCGCTTGAATCGTCATTGCGGGAGCTGGATATTGAAGTGCTGTGGGTGCACGAAGATCAAAGATCTTGGCCTGACCATCCGAAGCGCACGATGCTATCACATCGGCTTCATGAGGAGAAAACAGTGCTTGGTAGATGCAATTTTGATGTGCCGGTATCGCCTTGAGAGAATGAGGGCGCTCGGGATTCCACTACGAATCGATTAGACGGCGCACTGAGTTGAGACTAGCACGTACGATCCGAACGGAGCCATCCCATGACGCAGAACAGAAGAGAATCTTGTTCACATTCGACCAGTGGACGCCGTAGACTTCTCGGGTATGTTCTTTCCAGACACGAATCGGATGGTCCTATCTATCACCTGCTAAATATATGGTTATGAGAAAAAGGCGAGGCATACGTTGAGGGTGATATCCCAAAGTCGAATCGAGCCGTCACCACCGGCAGTGACCATCTGATTCTCGTGAATTTCGGACCAGGCGAGGTCGAACAGCGCGTCCTGCGTTTCGAAACTATAGAGATTGTGAGTGAAATCATCCTAAATGTATCTCGAAAAAGAATTAATGTCACATCCGGTCGATATTGGCGACCAATTTCGGTTGAACGTAGGCGCCTGAAAGCGATGCGACTTGCAGTCTACCGTTTCCAATCAATCCATAGTTGGCAGACGATGCAATGGCTAGCTTGTTTTCGAAAAATGGGGACCAAGCGACCCCATGGTGTGCAAATGCGGGGGTATGGATACTGGAGGTCGGCTCCATGGTTGGACCGGAAGTGGGCGAGCCACTGGATGGTTCGCGTGGTTGACCTGGGCGTTGAAAATCTCCATAGGGACTTTTAATATTATAGTTGTTGCATTTCTCGACTGGGAATGGATCTACCATATGTATATAGAAGCGCATATGTATACTGAACAGATCACGCTCGCACAGATACCGCTAGGATAAACTATTTCTTTGTCGGTTGGGAGATTCTAACGAGTGCGAGTTACTTTGGCATCTCTATCCCATACTCAATCAGGGATGGAGGTGTATATAAATCATTGCTAGACGCAAATAAGACTTTGTCCTAAATCTTGTATGTAATAAATATCTTGGGGATAATAAAATTGTGCTCTTGCCAAAAATTCTTGTAGCAGGCCCCCAAGTCGACATCAAGCCTTTGCTGAGGGAGCAAAATTATAGGTCCCACCCGGACTCGAACCGGGGTTAGCAGAATCCTCGTCTCAGAATCTGCTGTGATAACCTCTACACCATGGAACCAGTTCGGAAATCTCAAAGAACTTCATCTATAACAGCTCGCAGCTCTCGCTTCAAGAACTCTGGGCAGACAACCGAGTCGAAAAGGGTGAGGTCCCTCCCTCAGGCAGGGATAC